TGTTGCATGACCACAAATGTCCATCTGTCAAAAAGAACAACAAAAATGGTGACTGGTAATCTAAATGAATGCAAAATTTGAAGTTACTAAAGAACGATGCAAGACCTCGACAAAGCGTGTGAACCACCGGAGTATGAAGCGTGGGGGGATCAAGAGGATTAGATCCGGTGATCTGAATAAGAAAACAAGTCATGGGAAGGTTGAACTCAGCGGCGAGAGACTGAAGCCAAGAGTCGTCTCTATTGTTCTCCTCATCAAGAAAGCACACTACTGCTGGGTTCCCTTTGAAGGCTGAGTCAGTGAATGCATCTACCTTTTTATCAACCATCATAAATCTTGAGAAGCTTAATAAACATAGCCNGATCCGGTGATCTGAATAAGAAAACAAGTCATGGGAAGGTTGAACTCAGCGGCGAGAGACTGAAGCCAAGAGTCGTCTCTATTGTTCTCCTCATCAAGAAAGCACACTACTGCTGGGTTCCCTTTGAAGGCTGAGTCAGTGAATGCATCTACCTTTTTATCAACCATCATAAATCTTGAGAAGCTTAATAAACATAGCCATCTTAGCAGAAAGATAAAAAAAAATACAAAGAAGAAGACGATAGAGTTACCACAAAGTAGTTCACAGGATTCTTGATGATCATATTGATGGTCATATCTCTTCTTATTTCTTTTGATATCTGCCTCTTTCAACTTTGGCACACAGGTATATATATTTAGTAGCACAGATGTAGATAAGACTTTGATTGTTTTATAGGCAATTTCTGCGTTTGCGTTTACATGAGAAACACGTTTTTAGTATCATTCTTAGTTTGGTGAATGCAAACTCAAAAACAAAACATAGACAAACACGTTTTTAGTATCTCTCTCTCTCTCTCTCTCTCTCTCTCTCTCTCTCTCTCTCTCTTTTTATTTCTGAAATTTTCATGCTAGATAAAATGCGTTGTTAGGTACACTAATGAAAAAGGCTTCTTCTAATAGCAACGGCTCTTAACGACGAGTCCATAGGAAAGAGAAGAGAAAACGTGATCGAATGATGGGATTGAGGTTGTAGTCAACGGTTAAGTTTCACCACAAGATAAAGAGTAGTGAAAAGGAATCATAGGTCTCTGGAGGTGAAAAGGGAGAAGGCTTGAACCAAATAGGAATTGTATGTTGTTTTGGAATGAAAACTAATATTAAGAATAATTATACTTATAAAGTTATATCCACTACAAGAAATGTAGGTTTTGATAGCAATAGAATATAGCGTTTTTTGCGTTTCTGCTATAGTTGATACACCTGTTAGTTTTAGATAGCGTTTGTATATTTGGAAACGCTATGATATAGTGACATATTTGGAAACGCTATAATAACATATGATTTTCTATGTAATGCTTAGTTTCAATAGCAAAACATAAATACAAATGTTATGTTTGTTTTTTTTGAATCCCTAAACCTTAAACACTTAATAAATCCTAAACTCTAAACATAAACTTCAAACTTTATTATTTAACATTTAATTTTTAATTTAACTTCAGATCTTTAATATAAACTAAAAAATTATTCTTTTTCAAAAGTTAATCTTAAATCAATTCTAAACCTTTAACCCTCATACCCTATACTCAAATCTTATTCAAATTTCAAGTTCTAATTCAACTTTAATAGCTTTAAAATTTTTAATTCAGATATTAAATTTAAATCTACAACCCTAAACTATAGAACTATATATATCATACCCCAAACTCTAACTAAAAATCTCAAAACTATAATCTCATAGTTTTATATTAAATCTTAAATCTTAACTTTAACACTATAGTCCAGACCCCAAACTCACTAAATCATTTTTGTTAACCTTATATTAGTTTTATTTAACTTTAAATTGTTTATAAANTTAACACTATAGTCCAGACCCCAAACTCACTAAATCATTTTTGTTAACCTTATATTAGTTTTATTTAACTTTAAATTGTTTATAAAACAAAATCTAATCATTTTGTTATTCATATATCAATAATTTCATTAACTTAAATTGCTTATAAAAAGTGAAATCTAATCATTTTGTTAAACTTATATCTTTAGTTTTATAAAATCTAGATGAATAACTTCAACAAAATTAGTCAAAAGAAAATTACATTTGCTACAATAACTATCAAAATATATATATTTTTAAAAATATTTTTCTGTTGGAATCTTAGACCATTGATTAACTTTAAATCAAAGGCTACCTATTTTTCTGTTGGAATCTTAGACCATCCGCAATGGTGTACTCCTTTGGAGTCCTTAGAAAAAATGTTTTTTGAATTTTTAATTATTATTTTTTCAGATTAAAGAAAAAAAATATCAACGAATCACGGGTTGCCACGTGTATGGATTCATTAAAAAGAATCCTTACGTAAGGATTTTTTGGACAAAATTCTTAACTTTTAATTGGGTCTACTGATTATTTAATTATTTATTTCCTAAGAACTTCCCGCTAAGGACCGCCATTGCGGATGCTCTAAAATCATTCTCTCTCTTTCCTCAGTCTCGATAGCTCTCATCTCTTTCTTCTTCCTCTCTTTTCTGTATCTCTCAGTCTCCACCTCTCACGATTCTCGGTTCTTGTACACTATCAAACAACAAATCAACACAAAATCCACCTAGTGACTTCTCTCTACAACAAATCAACGACACAACTGTAAGGTGTTATTCGTTCTCATATGTCTCTCAAGTTTCCATCTTATTTTTCTTTTCTATATCAATTCATGTTTCTTTTCTATGACAGCGGAGGATGTTGACGATCGACAGAGACAAAAGATGGAGGAGGACGATGGGGGACATGGCTGAGGGCATTGCTGAACCGTCGAGGGTGGAGTAATATGCCAGATAAGAAGCAGATCTGGTGGAGAGAATGAAGATGGAGGATCTAGCTGTCAGTGTGGATGAAGCGTCGAGGATGGAGGAGGACTGCATATGGCGTATCTGATAGCAGATTTTGATGGTGGAGGAGTGATGGTGGTTGACAGATCTGGTAAAGGAGGTGGCTGGAGTAAGCAAAAAGAGAAGGCGGAGGCGGAGCTTTGCGGGAAAGGAGGCGCCAGGAGTTAGGGTTTTTAGGTTTAATTTTTTCGGTTTATTTTTTAGATTACATTTATACCAATTTTGTTTTATCTTTTATATGTAAACCATTTTTTATTTATAATCATTTGTAATTCAGTTTTAATTTATAAATATATATTTTATTTATAAATTTCAATTTTGATATAAAATATTTAAATTTTTTTTTATATATTTTTTTAATATTTTAATAATATAAATAATAACAAAAATATATGCTATCATATAGTATTTAATTGCATACAAAAAAATGCTATAGTATATAATAGAACAAAAAACCGCTATCTAAAGTGCATGAACTACTGTACTATGATGGGCAATGATACAACGTTCCTTAAACTGCTGTTAAATCGTTAGATAATGTTTTTCGTCCGCTAGTAAAACCCATTTTTCTTGTAGTGATCCGGTTAAATAACCATTTTAATTATAGGTATTATAATTTGTTAAAAGGTAATTTAATGTTTAGCTGAACACATAATTCTAATCATAGGTCTCTGGAGGTGAAAAGGGAGAAGGCTTGAACCAAATAGGAATTGTATGTTGTTTAGGAATGAAAACTAATATTAAGAATAATTATACTTATAAAGTTATATCCGGTTAAATAACCATTTTAATTATATGTATTATAATTTGTTAAAAGGTAATTTTATGTTTAGCTGAACACGTAATTCTAATCATGTTTTGTGAATTATTAGAGAGTTAATTATTTAATTTGAACTAAATTATGTTTACCGGCTATTTGAACAATATGATTTTTATTTTATATCAATCTTATATATTAAAAGAGAAGTCATGACTTCACTTCATGAGTGATCTTTTAAAATAGACAATCTAATAGAATATATGACATTACACTATTCAATCATTAATAACATTCGTTAGACTCACTAATAACATTTATTGGGCTTAATAGAATTTTTATTGGGCTAATAAAAATTAGATGATCCATTGGATTTATAGATATTATAATAAAATACATGTTTAAATTAAACTTATATAATTTAATATTGTAATAGTATAAGTTAATTATTTATATATTTTTGATGTTAATTTCAAAAATTATATAGTTTATTTTTAAAAATAACAAAATCATCATTTTCTAACAATAATTAATCTATACTATATAATAATTAATCATCATTTTCGATATACACACCTTATATAATATATACCAATTCAAAAAATATATTTAAGACATTTTGTCATTTAACAAATACGGAAACATCACATATATTGAGGTGGCAGATTTTAATACATTGTACCAAGTGAAATTATAATATATATAGTCAAATTTCATACATTATACTGATGGAATATAAAGATATTGCAATAATCCAAATTGTTAAACATGATATTTTAAAGATATAATATAATATTTAGATTTCATATTACTCTTAGATAACTTTTAATATTAATTGTTAGTATGTAATGTTTTGCTATAAATACATAAAGTTGTCACTAAGAGAAACAAAATCAAATTTTCTTTTCAAAATCATATTTATTTCGTTTTCATTTAACCCTTTAATGAAATATATTAGGTCATTTTGATTTTTGGATGCTATTTAGGGAATATGAACTCAAAAAAAATCTTTAAGACATTTTGTCATTTAACAAATACAGACACATCACATATACTGAGGTGGCAGATTTTAATACATTGTACCAAGTGAAATTATAATATATTTAGTCAAATTTCATACCTTGTACTGATGGAATATAAAGATATTGCAATAACCCAAATTGGTAAACATAAAATTTAACCATATAATATAATATTTTAGATTTTATATTACTGGTAACTCTTAATATCAATTGTTGGTATGTAATGTTTTGCTATAAATACATAGGGTTGCACTAAGGAAACATCAAATCATATTTTCTTTTCCAAATATCAAAACATGGCAAAAAACATGGAAAATAACATGGAAGGAAACATGGAAAAAAAAAGTAGGGGTCGTCAGAGGATCAAAATGGCCAAGATGGAAAATAAGAGTAACCTTCAAGTTACTTTCTCCAAAAGAAGATCCGGTCTTTTCAAAAAAGCTAGTGAGCTTAATACACTTTGTGGTGCAGATATTGCCGTTATTGTGTTCTCACCCGGTGGAAAAGTCTATTCTTTTGGTCATCCAAATGTTGAAATCATGGTTAACCGATTTAAACATATTAACCAGCCATTTCCTAATCCAACCAACAACATGCCACTTAGTGAAGTGCAGCCGCATACTCCCATTCAACAAATGAACGACTTTCTTACTCAGGTGACTTCTTATCGTGATGTTCAATATTATAATCTTTTATATAAATCATAAAAACCCTGATGTTGTATTCAATACCTACATGTTAGTTTTAACAAATAACTAATATATTATACGGTAAATTATGCGTGTTTCTCTGTATATAGAATATAATTGTGTACTAGCATGTAATACTGTAGAAATTGATGTCATAATTTATATATTTGTTGGTATTGTGCTATTTAAAGGTTCTTAACATAGGTATATATGTTTTTTTTAGGAATTGATTTAAGATGATACCAAATTTGATCTTTTACACATTTATTTGAAAATAACTTATTTTATATTTTCAGGTGATGGATGATTTGGAAACATCAAAAAAGAAAAATGAAGAATCAAAGAAAAAAAGAAAAAATTCTAAAGGACCTGAGAATTGGTGGGAAAATCCCGTTGAAGAAATTGACTTGGCTCATGCCCAAGAATTACTAGTTGGAGTGGAAAACGCGAAAAAAGTTGTTGCAGATGAGACTTCCAATTTTTTCCAAGTTTTTCCCCATCCAAATTTCTGTGTCGGAAGTTCCAGTGGTGCTTTTTTTAGGGAATGTGGCTATATCAACCCTAATTTGGACCAGTCTGAACAAAGAAGAATGTTCAACGTGAATACATGCTACAACCAGAACATGTATCCTCCCATTTATCAGCTACCGTATGGAAACAATAGTTATGCTGGAGGATATGTTCCAGATCAATACAACTTAAATTGCATGCGTGCGATTAATCAGTACCAGAACCAGAACCAGAACCAGAACCAGAACCAGAACCAGAATCTGGGTTTTAGAGATGAAGGCATCTCCGAAAATGAACGTCATCAAGATGGCCATCCTCCTTATTTCTGATCTGATTGTGGCTGATCATTTCTATATGATCCACTGGAATCTCGAGATTAGAAAAAAATGTTTGATGTTATCCTCATTTCTTTTTAGTATGATGTATTTCTTTTCTTTCATAGTTTGTTGTGTTTTTCAGAGTTGGTTTGCTATTGGTGTCGTCGAGACTTTCATTGCTTTGAAAATCAAACTTTCTTTTACTTAATAAGAATAATAATGTTTTTTTTTTAAATTTCAATCACCACTACAATCTTTATATAAATTTATCAATTATATTATAAAAATATTATTTTTTAATACTTTTTATTTAATATCCATATTGCCTACCATTTTTCAAAATTTATTTTTAATATCTAAAAACAAAAGTTTTTTTTTAATTTATAACTTATATTAAAAATGGTAAATCTACAATTTAAATTAGTGGCACTTAACATATTTTATTTAAGAATCATTTTTCAGGTATAGAATAATAGTCATTATTGTCTCCATAACTTATAACACCGAGTAACAGTTTTTAAAGTTAAAATCTTAACGGTCAAAAGCAGTCGTTATCAGTCGACGTTTGAATGTTTGTAACGACACATTGTCTAGTTGATACACTTTGTGTGGACAGCAGTTTTTTAGACATAAATAACATTTCCTTTTGATACCAAGTATAAATGATTTTGCCTTACATTTTATTTTGTATCCAAACAAATGTATAATACTACACCATTTTATTAGTTTCATAACTTATATTGATAGAATATTAAGACTATAAAATTTCTGAAATAATGAATATTAAATAAACTATAATAAATAGATGAAACAAAATTGTACATAGAATATTATATGTTGTTGAGTGATTCATCACAATAGTACATTGTATATTTTATTTATTTTTATTTTTGCAAATAATGAAAAAAAATATAATATAACATGTATCTTTTGTTTTCTGCTATGTGATCATTTTTATAGGAAAAATAATTTAATCCAACGGTTGAGTTTATCATAATTTTGTAGTCTAACGGAAAAATTCTTCTTCTTTTTTTATAGAAATCTGATATCATCAAACCATTCTAGCAAAATACATATTTTTTTTAACGTATCTTTTTACACACCTCTTTTAGTTTACACCATATTTTATGCCTCATTTAATTTATGAAGAACATATCCTCTTAATTCTTTATATACATCACCATCAGTGTCAAATAGTAAAATTTCTAGATATTACCTTCATAAACACAATTATAAATATTTTGACAATCGTTTAAAAACTAAATATATATATATATATTTAGATGAAAAGATAACTCTTTCAAAATCAACAAAATTTAGAGGATGATAAGACACATCAATAAGAAATATTAAAACTTTTTTTAAAAAACCAGTACATTGATAAGGATGAAAAAACACATTGTGATGAAAAAGACATTCTAAGAAATGAAAAACAAAACAAACTTCAGATGATTAAACACTTGCTTAATCATTTCCACACCCTCATCTTATTAATTTAGAGTTCTATTTAAAATTTTACATGTTATGTTTTATATTTGAGCCTATTGAACATGTTGTGTCTAATTATAAAATATTCCTTAGACAATTATTGTAAGGTATTTAAATTATAATAACACTAACATTAATTTAATCTGTTCCTACTTTCACTCCTAACCTCCCTAACTCAATTTAATTTTTTCATCTTAAGGCGTGAGATTATAATTAAGTAGCATTATCTATGTTTGATGATTATTGTACTATGTTTTATATTCGGCACAAGCACTGATGACATTGTGCTATGTTTTATATTCGGCACAAGCAATTATTCAATACCATTAAAACAGAAACATTGTGTTTAATGGATTTTTTATATTTTCCAAATATACTCTTATATCTTATATACAAATTTAATTTATCATTGATGACAATTTTTCATTTTTATTTGAGCTTAAAAATATATAATAATAGGTTTCATTAATGGATTGAATCTCTTTCAAGTTTTATAAAACTTTTCTTGCAAAAATATATTTTCTTTGCGGGTCAGATGGGTCAAAATTTTTAGTCGTAAAAATGACTCAACCCGCTGCAGAGCGGATCGAACGAAGCGAGTTTGACCCGCTTCCCACTATCAGGCGTAGTTAACTTATATTATTTTTCCCAAATAAAACTACACAATTATATACAATACATTTACATAGATATTGATGATAATAATAAATTAAAATCTGCATTAATTTTAAAAAGTATATTAGATAGTGAAATTTTGTAACTAAATGACTTTAGGAATTAATCACAAAACTAAAAAAAATGAGTCATTTAATTCTTAAATATACAATCTTTCTCAAGTACAAATTTGAGGTACAACCATTGTTAATATATTTAGAAACATTAAAAATTTGTCTGAGATATTTTAAAATAAAAACTTATTATACCAGAATGCTAACTTGATTTTGATTCCGTGACATTTTATATAATGAAAGCAAAATACTTATCGATATATGTATAGATAAAACAATAAAAATAGTATCCGCGCTTTTTAAATGCGGATCAAAAATCTAGTATTACCTTAAACCATGACATTCACAAATTATAATAATAAAAGAATTACATGTAATAGGTTGGTACTACGTACTAGCTCGACAATTCATGGCATCTTAAAACGTGAGTTTTATCAACTAAAACTTCAGGTTATTTAACTAAAGTTACTTTTTTTTTTTGGACAAACCAAAATTACATTTTATTTCAAGTTTGTATTGCATTTTATTTTGATCCTTAAAAACTATATTGAATTATTTAGTATGACTATATTAAAAAATATAATATTATATACTAATTATCAAACTTAATGTTTGTTACAAAATAAAATATTAATTATAGCATAATATATATACATATATATTTTATTTATTTGTGATCTACATTCAGTTGAGAAAATATATTTTTGTTAGTTATTCTTTACGTTTAGAAAATATATTCTCAAAATGCAACATTAAAAATATTTATTCAGGATGTAAATATTCACAAACTGTTATCCTTTTTACAACTTTAATATGATGATCTGCATTAACTAACCAGCCAACTTTAATATAATATAAAGAATGTTAAATTAATATTATGGCTATATATTATTTTTGTTAGTTAATATTTTCGTTTCTAAAATATAAGAAGAACACGTTTAAAATCTAGATTACAACTTCTTAAAATTTGAATTTTATCAAGATAAATTTTCTTAAAATTTTGAATCGATGGCATAAGATAATACTATATCTCAAGTAATATTTGATTGCAATCCATTTTTAATTCAATAATATATTCTTGCCTTCAAAAAGTTGATAAAATCTTTGAAAAAATATTTTTTTAAAAAAATACTTACAAAATATATTTATACGTCTTGAAATTATATTTGACTTAATATTCTCAAAATTATAAATGTCAAACCTATAATTTGGTAATCATTATGGGCCATTTTGAAAGAAAAAAAATAGTTAAGACTTATAAAATCCAGCACAATGTATATTAACTTAATAATTTCCTTCAAATTTATTAATACAACCATGTATATTTTTAAATTGGATTTTGGGTTTCTATATTTCATACACTAAATTATTTAATATATGCCTATTAAATTTGAGTAATTAAAAATAAAATTTCCTTAATAACAAACGTAAACGCAGACGTTTGTGAGTTTGGTGTTGATATCCTTGTTATTCCACCTCCAACCAAATGGGAAATCGTCTCTTTTGGTGAGAAACTTCCTTTTTCCAAGATGGGATGAGGTAGCTCGTTTGTTAAGGACCTTGTGAGCCAATTGTCATGCTTACGGGTTCGACGTCAGGCGGAGGGGAACTGCCGAATCTTGTCGCCAAATGTGGTACTAGGTGTTGGGTCTTGTCCTCAGTCCAGATAAAGCCCTCCCGGGTGAAGTGGACCGCTGCCTAACCGGACCCATGAGAATGACCCACGAAGTGGGGAACCCCTGGATTATCAAAAAAAAAAAAAACTTCCTTTTCCCAAGTTTTCTTGGACTGTTGGAAATTTCTCTAAGATAAAAGAGAATCCTCTTGAATCAAACAATTTTTCAATCGGAGGAAGGAAATGGTAAACTTACAAATGCGTAGTTCTGTCTACTATATATAAAGCTATGAGAGCTTGTATAGATAAGAGATTAACAAGTGCCTAATAAAATTGTGTAGGTTACTAAAGTTGTATCCCAAGGGATACTCTACACCAAATGATAAATGGGTATCCATATTTCTGTACCCAGATGTTGGTGAAATTTTAAAGGAAGATGAGAAGATTTACTTGGAAAAAGATCTGAATGTTGAAGACCCACGTGGATCCAATCATCTGGCGCGCAATTGTATGTTGTGAAATACTAGAACTTACATTCTTATCATGAGATTTCCGTAAATTAACACGAGCTTAGAGCATCTACATTAATAAACTCCTTTTGGAGTTCAAATTTTTAATTTTTTATTATTAAATTTTTATTATTAATTTTTTTCTGTTTGATTTAAAAAATAAATAAATAATAATTGAATCAATTGCGGACCACCACGTGTCGTAAACCCCACAAAACAGTTCATATAAGACCATTTATAATGACTAGCTATTTTTTCTCTATAATTTACATAAAAATAGAGTAATTTTGTTATAGAGTAATTTTTGTTCTAAGACTATCTCTAATAGCTACCTATTTGTTCATCTATAATTTACACAAACATAGAGTAACTTTATCATAGAGTAACTTTTGGACTATTGATTTACTCTATAATATGGTTACTCTATTATAGTATGGAATATTAAGTAATGTCATTTTTCCACTCCAAATATAGAGTGAAAAAATAACATTACTTTATATTTCACTCTATAATAGAGTAGATTATTGGAGTAAAATTTTAAGAATTACTTTATTTTGGTGTAAATAATAAAAGAAAAATAGGTAGCCATTAGAGATGCCATAACAAAATACAACTACTCTTTTACTATTTATTATAAAGGGTATTTTAGAAAGAGTGGCCTTTTCTTACTAT